ACAACAAACCAATCTAAATTACCTTATTACTCAACTTAATACAGATAAATTACATTTTTATACTAATAGATCAATTAAAAATCTACAAATTCCAGAAACCAAATGTGATATAAGATGGATTTGTAAATATGATACATTTATAAAATTCAATGTAGCTATACAATTATATCCTGACTTAACCTATATCAAACTTGAAGCAATTCTTTCTCTTTTATTTGCAGTCCTATCTAACATCCTCTTAAATATTTATATTGATAATATAATTGTAATCAGAAACCTTAACTCTATTACTGACTTCAAACCTATACAAACCAAAAATTAGGATACTATTCACAATATTAACTATCTTAAATACCTTAAAAACATTACTATTACTTTTCACAAAATTAAATCATATTCTACAGACTCTTTTTACAACCAAGCAGATTTATTTGCCAAACAAGAAACTACAAAACTTATTCTCAAAATTAACAACTCAAAATTTAATATCCCAAACTATTTTATATGGAATAACTACCTAATTTCTTTTAAAGTTCATACCTTTATCAAAACTTTATAACTATTCATGAAATTGCCAAATAGTTAAACTTAAAATTCTTTCAAAACATTACAAATATCAAATAGTCATTAAAATTTAAAGTCATCTTCTCATTTGAAAATAACTTACAAAAATACTTTTTTTGTATCAAAATTCTCACTAATAACTTACCAACTATGCAAAATCTTAATATCTGTTACTCATATTTCTATACTACTTCAAATTGCTCTCACTGTACAAATACTGAAGATACTTTTTATTTATTTTATTGTCTTAATAATACTACAAATATTCTATAATCACTTAAAAAATACAATACAAGATACTTTAATATCACTAAAAATTACTAACATAACTTCAACAATCTTACTAAATATTCTTTTAAATTTTCACTCAACACATCAAATCCTTAATTCAAACATATATTATATATCATTATTGAAATATTTACTTTTATTACTTACAAAAATATCAAAACACTTATTAATAAACAAACTGATGACCTTCTATTCCAGCTCTTAAACAATCTATTAAACTAGTTTTACCAAGATCTCTGGTCTACTCATAATACATACCAACACCAATGAAAAATATTCTGTAATATTACATCAAAATCTAAACATATCAAAATTTACTTACTAATATTACCAAATTCTTCAAATAATACAACAATCTCTTCTTAAAATATAAATACTAACTCTTTTATTATCAAATAGTTCATACAAGCTTATTTACTAACTACTTGTATTCAATAATGTTCAGACAATCACTTGAAGGTCTCCTTCAACCTATTCTAGCTAGAACCTAATTTGAAATAGTTAGCTATAGCACTTATAGGAAATAAAAGGTGTAATGTTATATTGGGTGCCAACTTGTAGCACAAATATAGTTTAGAAATTTTTAATTTTAGAACTTATAATTCTATATATACAAAGTTTCTACTTGAACATTATATTAATAAAAAAAAAACTTTTCAGATTCAGTAGAATATAAGAATATTCAATTATTGATAGCTTATTATTTTGTATTATAATAATTTTTTTTTATAATTATAATTATTGAAAGTACATATAATATGCATAATATTTTCTACTATAGCAGCATCTTATTATATATATGTATTAAAGATTTTTTAATACTTTATTAGAAATTGTTAAACATACTTTATAATAATATATAATTATTAAAATGTTAATTGTATATAAGTTTGAAAGATATGCTGTAATAATTTCTAATAAAGTATTCCAAATTTTATCAAATATGCATTAATAGATCTTTAAATAGTTGAAAACTACTTTAATAAAAATTTCTATAATGTAATACAGAATTCATCAACAATTATTACAGTATTACTATATTAGAATATATTTATATACCAATTCTTGATAGTTTTTATATTTATAACAACAATAATTATTTATAATAATACAATTAATTGTTAATAAATTTTTAATGAGATCAAAATTATAATAAAAAATTTGAAATAATAAATTTAAAGTCAAAATTAGTTACTGATCATATAATTTAAGAACTATATAAGATTACTTACATTCTTTTTTGAAATTATTAATTTTATTAAACTTTTAATATATATCAAATTCTAAATTTTTAATTATTTACTATGTCTACAATGCCTTATGTCATTACTAATTCTTCTGCTAAGGAAGATATTTAACATACTTTACAAAAAACCCAAAAATGTATTCAATCTAATAACCTGTAACCCAAAAAGAGAAAATTTTTGTTAGTTTATGCATATCTCGATAAGCTTAGTAATGATCTCAAAATGTTCAAATTCTATAAAATATATAACAATAAATAAGAAAAAAATACATCAATTTTAATAGTAACAAGTTATTTTAAAATAAAGCATCCACTTATCTATAAAAATTTTTCAAAGACTCCTAAGCCTTCTTTTTATTCAACTAATAAACTATCTTATATTAATTCTTTAAATTATGATTTGTTGTAATAAATCATTACTAGCTAGCAGCCATTTTCAGTAATTGAAGAGAAATCATTTGTAAAACTTTGCTTCAATCTTGTTTTATGTTACAATCTTTTCTGTTGTCAAACACTATCTACAAATATAAAAAAACAATTTGACTTAGTAAGAATAACAATTAAAGAGACTTTAAAGACCAATCTAAATAAATTAGTATTACTTGAATATTTGGATTGCATGCAACTAATAACCTTTTTTCAGAATTACAGTCTATTGGATTGATACTAAATGGACAACCAAAACTCTTTTTCTTTGTTTTATTCTTTTACATAATGCCTATATGGAAAAATATCTTAAAAAAAAAATTTTTAAAATTATTAATTATATAGAAATTAAAGAATGAATAATTGGTTTTACTAATAATAATGCAACAAATAATTTAACTTGACTACATTTTTTTCAAAAGTTTATAAACCTGAAACTTGAGCATATATGTTGTGTAACTTATATTATCGATTTTGTAGTTAAAGCAGATCAAAAAAAATATCTTTACCAAATATAAAAAACTTAAAATTTTGTAATAAAATAAAATTGCCTACATTTTTAGAGAAAATAAAAAGAATATCTGTTATTTTAGGTCATCAATTTCTCTATTTGATAACTGATATTAAGACAAGATATAATTCTACTTACTTGATGCTTGAAAGACTTATTGAAATTCATACTGTTACTGATGGTCTTGTATAATCTCGTCTGAATTTGAAAAATAATTATTTAGAATTTAATGACTGAAAAATTATTGAAGAAATAATGGAACTTTTTAAGCCTTTTTATACAATAACTTTGATCTTTTTAGATGCTTCACAACCCTCATATGGATTGTTATGATTAATTATTCAAGAACTATTAAATCATCTTACCTATTATATTTTTAGTACATATAACAAAACAGTTAAAAAAATGAAATGTAAACTAAATGAATATTGGGCTTATTTTCAGAAATCTTCTGTGATTCTTGGTATTTTTAACCTGTTGACTAAGTTTGAAACATTTTACAAAACTAATCATATATTAACTATTAATCAGTTAAAACCCCTTTACTCATTATATAACAAAGGTAAATCAGAACCAGTTATCAAATTTAAAGATCTGTTAGAAACTTTTAGAAAACTAATAAAAGTACAAGGAGAAGAAATTAAAGAAATTGTAACAAATACAGAAAATGAATTAGTGGCATACTTTGTCTTATCTCATGAACCATGTATAAATCCACTGCAATGGTAGAAAGCTAATGTTTACCATTTTTCAACTATAACCCACATTACAGCAAACTATTTTGCTTTACAGGTTACAAGTGTTTCCTGTGAGCATGCAATTTCCATTGTTAAGAATACTATAGATCTTACTAGAACTAGTCTTCTTGAAGATACAGTAAGAGCCTCTTTAGGCCTAAAAAGCTGTTTGAGGAAGGAATTATCAAATAAAAAAAATATAAATAGTGTTTTATATTCGCTATCACATATTTAGTTTTCATTTTATTTTTTATTGTTATCCATCTTAATACTGTAATACTGTGTAATACCGATACTGTAATTCAATAAATCTATGAAAATCAATCATATAATTTTTTGTTATTTGAAGTTCGACTAAGTCGACTTCCGATGTGACCCAAGCCGACTCAAGTTTTTAACACCCCTACATAAATCACATATCCGGGGGGTTTTTTTTGTGGTTACATAATACGTAGTAGTTCATCATACTGCATATCAATACTTATACTAATCCTGATTAAATATGCACATAGGTCTGATTAAACTTGGATGGATAGAAAAGTTTTGTCGCAAACCTAGCTAATAACTGAACAGTTATTGGACCAGTCATTTGACCGGTTATATGACCGGTTATATGACCGGTCAATAACTGCGATCGGTCGGTTGTGAGTCAATGACCGCCAATAACCGACTGATAACCGACCGTGACCGACCGGACCCACCCCTAATCACATAATAACATGTACACGGCAGATCTGTCCGGCTACCATTTTTGAGGGCGACGCTAGGGTCGCTACTTGACCTTGCCGACCCAAGTAACCAAAAGCCTTAATCACCCACTAGCCAAATCTAATACCCCTCTTTCGAAAGGTTACCTATTGTTGATTACGCGAGATTTTGGATCGTGGAGTGACCGAGTCGTAGTTTTCCGAACATTCACAATATACTAAACACGCCTCATGATATCAGCAAACACAAGGTTACACAATACATATCACTAAAACTTCGATGCTACACGACTGATCCTTCACCCGGTGTGCAACTTATGAAAAATTATTTTACAATATCAGATATCCCGCTAGTACATGTTATGATTATAATAAAAATGGAGTTGGACTATAATAATAGCATGTACTATCGGAATGATCTGGTATTGTAAAATAATTTTTCATAAGTTGCACACCAGATGAAGGATCAGTCGACGTTTCCTCTTGTTATTTCGTAGTGGTTCACTTTTTTTTTTTTATCAGCTAGGACCATTGTCTGGACCAGGACTGAAAATAATTCGATATCGGTCCAGTACTACCCAATCCTGGTCTTTACGAAGACCATTCCTTAAATTTCCTCTATCGTAAGAGATTCACAAGTTTAATCAATTTGACAAGGCGAACAATACTTTGAAATTGATTGCATGGTATCTATTTTTACAATATTAGAGTTCGTCATTACAATTAGATCTTCAATACAAATCTAGTAATACTACGTTTCTGTTTTAAGCTAGACTATGTCGCGCAGAGAATCTAATTATTAATAAATTTGACATGATTTTAAAATTTTATTATCAACGAAAACATATTATATATATGAAATTTTATATCCATATCGATAGTGATATTAATGAAGATCGTATTAAAATTGATATATATGTGAGATTTATATTAAGAGATTGTATAATACTTTTTACATTATTTACAGCTAACCATGTTTGTATTTCATTGTTGATACGAATAAGCAACGTAATCAATGATAAATGTTTGAATTTGTCTGTGGAATAAGTGTCGGCGAAATAAAAATGTCTGAGAATTGAGTGTCGGGGTAACCGCTTTACTTGATTATTGGATATAAACTAGAGATTGCACATATGACTGCCTTTGCAGCCCAGTTAAAATTACTGTAGATTAAGGTTACTATAGCATTGTGTGAGCAAATGAATAACTTAATAAATAATGCTACACTAATTACTACCCCAATTACTACTACGTGTGAAATGATTTGATGTAACTATTATTGTTTAGGTTGAAATCATTTTTCTGTTTATTACACCTTTTGAACTGGATGTAGATACAGTTGGCATAAACTATATATAGTTATTGCATACTTCGCATGCAATAACTACTGTATTTTATGTTCTCTTCTGATCGTTCGGTTATTCAACCGTATCGGCTGGGTTACCAACTAAACATCATTGTCATAAATATGGCAGTTGATGCATATGGGAACATGCAATAACAGTTTTATTCAATGACTTACATCTCAGTTTAAACAGGAGGAGCCGTTGATATTACACGACTGATCCTCAGTTTATCAACAATTTTATCACGTAAAAATATCTCGCGATCCAGTACTCCAAATTGGATAATTTTAGTACCATTCGAATCGTCTCTTCGAATGGTATTAAAATCATCCAATTTGGATCAACATAAAAGACACTCGGATTTTTACGGAAATCACAAGGAATAACACAGGCCTACCGAAAAATTAATTAAAATTAATTTTTGTTATACGTCATGCAATTAAAATCAATTAAAATTATCATGAAATTAATTGAAACCCAATTAATGACGAAATAATTGTAATTAATTGCAATTAATTACCATTTATCATATGGTTTTGATGAATCATTATATGTGACAAACAGGATTTACTAATTAAACTTATTAGTGAACTCTTATTCGTCACGCAAATAATTTATCACGTCAAAAATTGCAATTAATTGACTCATTGTGACTGCGCCACCAATCAATTAGTTGAGTTCAAAAAATTGCAATAAATTAAAGAAATTCTTTCGATACGCGAAATGAAATAAAATGAAACTTCTTTTAATACTCAAGTATTTTACTCCATTTTATTAATTCTTATATTTTACTAAACCATATTATATGTTATTGCCTTTAGTCTATACTATTAGTTAGATTACATCACCATGTTTACTACATCTTAAAGATCTTGGTTTTCCTTTTTGTTTGATAAATAATATATATATGTTTTTGGTTAGGTAAAATAAACCTTGTTAGACGTTTTATATTACTTAGCTTATTTAATAAATGTATAAAATCATATATTAGTATAGTATTTACGGTTTAACAATCTATAAATCTGATACTTGAAACTCAACAAACTTAACCAATTACTAAACGTCTCACCTTTACTCTTATGAAAACTCTTTGAAGGAAATGATTGAAAACGATTAGAAAAGATTTTCTACTAAAAACACTCAAAACGAAGAAGTTTTATTAATAAATATGAGTAACTTTAATTTAACTCACTATGGGTAAACAGGTAGTAAAATTTCCGGTTTTTAAACTACAAACGTATAATCAAATTTAATAATTCCAGAATTTATCGGATACGAGTGTCTTCTATGCTATTTGGATCACTGAATCACATAGGCAGAAGTTTGTTTGATTGGCTGATTATTGGCTAATCAAATTTTATCATTTAACTAGGTGCTTGAGTTGCTTAAAGGGAGTTAGAAATGAGCATATTGTATTATTGATTATCGTTTATTAAATTAACACAAATGGATATACTGTTAAATATTATTGACGTTGAGTATATTATATCATATTGAAAGTGTTTAATAGATTAATTGGTTATTATATAGTGACAAAAAAGAAAAACCCGTAAACCATTTCACTTTATTATGTGAAATGATTTACAGGTATTCTCTTTTCGTCACTATATATGTTAATTATTTTTGATCTTTTTTTTTTGAAGGTTTTGAATAGCGTAATTGTATTGGTGTATAATGTAATGGAAATTTATAATATCAAATTTAAAGTACTTCTTAAAAACAATAAAAATGTAAAGAATAAATGAACAAGAGGCATATAAAAAGGTTTATTAGAGTTGTAAGAGTTAACCATTCAAAATTATTTCTAACTTGGAAAACTTAATATAATAGTGATTTATTAAAGATAAATAAAATTATACTATTACCATTCTAACTTCTCTATAATAAAAGGGATTTAGATTATTTTTAATGGTTGAGTTTTACAGCTCTAATAAACATTTTTATATGCTTGTTATTCAGTTATTCTTTGTGTTTTATTGTTTTTAAAAAGTATTTAAACTGTATAAATAATGTAAAATTAAATCGATTTAAACAGATAATAATATGAATGTCTTTCTGAAAAGTTTGTCAATGAAGTAATAGAGTAATTATTATTGCGAGATCAGATGGCTCAGGTCATATGAAATTTATTATTTAGCATTTTATAGAATATTTGTAATCAGTTAATAGTTCACTACTTCTAAGCAGGTTTCATGATGTAGTAGTATATGATAATATTTGATTATTAGCTCTTCCCAGTAATTGATTGTTGAGTGAGTAAGTTGTATGAGTTTCCTATGTAGATGTGAGATGCTTTGTTAAGCAATGGTTGTTTAAAGATTTTTGAGGTTGTAAGTGAATTTATCTTTCTTTTTGCTATCATTCGTTTGTGTTAATGCTGGCTTTATCTCCTTCCTATTTCCTTCTTAGGTCTTTATATATTACTGTTTTTTTAGCAGTCATTTAAATTCTTGGTTAGTAAGCTCTGTCTTGGTATGATGAGTCTCTGCAGCTGGCCAGAAAGTATAAGGACATCTTAGTAAGGTTTCATGACCATTCTGGCAATGCAAGAACTTCTTAGTTAGATTCATGGTTGCTTTGATAGTGTAAAGACCTTTAAATTAGGCTTTATGGTTGCTCCAACAGTGCAAATATCTATCAGTTAGGCTTCACAATATGTCAGCAAAACAAGAACCTTTAGGTTAGATCTCATAACTGCTTTAGCAGTACAAGAACCTTTAAATTAGATGCTATAGCTGCTTTAGTAGTGCAAAAACTTTATCAACAGGTTTCATAGCTGCATTAACAGTTCAAGAACCTGTGTAGTACATGTTTAGAATATTCATAAGTTGATATCTATAATGTAATTATCACTATTATCTGATTTTCTTTTTTCTTATACAAGGTTTTACAATAGTTATGAACATACATGTTTAGATTTCTGTAAGATATAACCAGAGTAGTAAGTTGTGATTATTTATTTTGTAGTTTTATTATTGGATACAGTAGTATTATGAAATGACAGATTTATTTAGATTTTGTATAGTGTATTACCAGTTTAGTGAACTTGTAGTTATGTATTTTCTTAGACTGATTGCTTGGTACAGTAGTGTCTTAAGATAGCAGACCTATCTCCATATGTTTTTTTATTTAATTAGCAATGAAGATAAGTCTCTGATCGAGCAATAATAATATGAATTTTAAATTGTTCAAAAAAAGTTTGTTTTAGTAATGATTTATAATAAATTACTTAATATATCTAGGGATAGATATTTATGTATTTATATTCATACTATCGGATCTTGAATAAATGCACTTTGACATAAAATTAATGTTCTCTAATTATTGCTTATCAAATTCAAATTGCAACATTATTTAGTATAAATTGCTGACTAATATATTTGGGTGTTTATAATAACTAGAGATGCAACTAAAATATTTTTTATTTCACTTTGTTATTAATATTGAAAATTATTTGCTCATAGAGTCTTTTATGAGAAATCAAGATATCATTTCTTGTATTATACTTTATATACCAAGATGTATAAAATAAATATTAATTTTTAAATAGTTCTTGATATAAATCAGAAGGAATATTTGAGTTGGGTCTTTACATATAAGTAAAAATTTTAAATATACAGTTTAACTTTGTATTAAGTAAAATATTATTTAAATTAACATATTAGTTTAATTAATTTAGTTTTTAAGTTAATTTAGTTTGTGATTATATCTTTTATTTAAACAGATCTGATTAATAAGTATAATGGATTAGGTTTTATTTTTCGTATAATATAATTTCTGTTTTTAACTATTTAGTATTAAAAATGTGTACTTGGCTTTTAATTTTAAGTTTTAATTACAATAATCATACACAAATATATATTAATGAGTTGGATTTACCTGTATTACCAGTAGTACAATATACTATATTGTGACAATTTTTAACATGATTTTTCTACAAATAAATAAAAGCTAATTTTACTCAAATTTAATAGACTACTTATTTGAATCAAGAGCTTTTTTTAGTAATTATTTCAGATCTATTAGAGTAATATTTGGGTCATAGTCAAGCTAGAATTCAGGATCATGTGCAATATATTTTTGTTATAAAATTGAAGTATAAAAAAGTTTAAAGTATATGTATTATTATGTAATAAGACTGTGTTATGCTGATTAATAATCATAATATGATTGACTGATATATAAGCAATTTTATAATTAAATTGAATAGAAAAATTACTTGTATAAATAGACCTTAAGTGGGTCACATTTGTAGTTGGATCACTAGTTTTATATAATTACTTTTTTTAAAAAAATAAAGTACAAGTAATTAGCTCAAAAAAAGCATAGCATTTTTAACAAACAATATAATCTTAAGTACTTCTATGATAAAGGCATAGGCAGTTAGAAGATTAATCTTAGTTTCTGGTTGCAAATCAATGCTAATTGTCCAATGTCTAATACCAGAAGCAACACATAAAACTGTTGCAGATAATTGCATTGTTTTCTATATACTTTCTAAGAATGGATGAGAAATAGTCTCACCAACTACAAAACCTAGAACAGAGACCTTAGAACCCTCTTTAATGTTTTATGAAATTTGACTTATTTTTTGATTTTTCTTTTTTTTAATCAAAATTACTTGAATGAAAAAAATTTTTTTTTTTTATATTTGATGCAATTATCTTTGGCCATGCTCATATAAAGTTTGAATCAAATACAAATATAAGTGATGATAATGAGCTGAAATGTCTAAGGAGTTTGTTAATAAATATAAAATAAATATTTCAAGTGAAAATGATACTAATCAAAGTAATAAAGTGATAGCAACTGTTAGTAATAGTAATAGTATATTATAAAAACTAAGATTATTATTATTTATTCATGTCAAGTTTGTTTTTCCTATTCAGGTTCTACAATTGTTCAAATTACAGACATTATATATATATCATCTAAACAATTTTTTGAGTGATTTTTGCCTATTAAATATTTTATAACAGTAGTAATACTATCTACTAATAGATATGTATGTGTAAATAAGAAGGTGTGAAAAAATTTGACTTAGATAGAATTAATGTATTTTATAAATGTTTTAACAATAATAACTTATATAAAATGTACTAACATTTGTGACTATTAGTCTACTAAATCTAAAATAGATGAAATGTATTGGCACTTAGTCAATATATATATCTTATAAATGTTTCTAAAATATTATAAAATATCTGATCTTAACTGATAAGCTTGATAATAATGAACTCTTTTATTATACATGACAATTTTATAATATTTTTAATAAAAATCTTACTAAAGTGATTGTGTCTAGTACTTACTTGTATATAAACAAATCAATATGTCAGTAAATAGACAAGATAAATAAGAGATTATTTTAGCAAAAAATTTCAAAAAAATTCTACCCAATTAGTAGTTAATTTAAGGCTTTTGCAGATGCTTAGACTAATTTATTTTTGTGATTAGATCTTTCAGAATCTTCAGAGTATTCTAAAAAAAATTTTTCTGATTGTTATCCTTCTATTATAGCAACTATATTATGTTTAACAGAGCTATA